ATGGGTGTACTGCTCACGAAAGTACACTACTAACGGGAGATTTCAGTACGATAGTTCGCAATCAAAATTAATCTTTATAAACATGTTACATCCACTCGTGGGCCAGACATCCATAAGTATACAGAAGCGACACTGTTGATCTATTTGTGACAGAGTAAATGAGTGGATTACTGCGATGCAAGATCACGCAAAATGAAGCAAAGCGAATACCGTTCATGTAAAGACCACTCCCAGGCGTTCTGTTTATAGAGTGGTGGTGATTGCATTTCGCTTTGTGAATGAACACAGCATTTGGAGCAGTCAACTGCTAAGTTAGTGGGGTAGAGGTTTTTCATGGTGTGAACGCTACCAACCAGTTTTGATGACACTTGAAATCGGTTACTTACTACTTGGATGTGTTCTAAGTAATATCGTTCGGGAATTTTTCGCACCGCCAACACCGTCTACCAGGGTTCGCACACTTGAGTAATGAAGTGACCTAAATTTCTGATTGCTTTACACAACGTCGAAAATCAACTGATCTGATTTGTTCGTCCTCTCCTGTCACCCGTCAGCAGCACCGTCACTATTTTGTCACGCGTTCACGTGAAAGCTTTGTTTCAACAATTTCCTACATAACCGACGATTTCATTTGGCCAGACAGTCCAACTATACCGTATGGACTTCGTACTCACATGTTTGTTTGTATGTTCGCACCGTTTTCTGTTCATTTCAACACGTCTCATAACTTCGCCATGTTTAATCCTAATTCAATGTCCATGCCACACAGCAAATATTTCGTTATATTGTCATCCGGAAGGTCTGTGGTTCGAACCCGACCTCTGCCTCTTGATTTCCCCTGTCTAGGCTCGGACAACCTGGCAGTCTCCCAGCCCTCGTGCTTCCTTCTGGTGGTGGCATGGCAGTTAGGCACCGAAAGGGTGCTACAGCTGATCAATTTATTTGTTCTATTATTTAATTGTCATCCAACAGCACGGAGGTGCCAGTGTCGTAACCACTAACAACTGTAGGCCAATTATCGGCCACCAACTGACCACGACAGTAGGCTACCATATGGGTTACTTTCTATACATCTGGCTCCTTCATTTTCGTGAACTTGGATCTGACAATACTACTAACCAACTATACCCCTTCACTGGTCTGCTGTCTCTTTCTTTCATTCAAGTTGTCCGTCAAGGGTGGTGCAGCAATGGATTTGGTGTGGACCAGAGATCGGCTGTTTGACAAGGAGGCTGCCATGGTCTTTTTGACCAAAGTGAAATCATGTCACACTGCTGAGTGAGTTTTGTGTTGACTGTCCAGGTTTTATTTAACGTGGTCTGGTTCGAAGCGCTCGCTGGGGACAGATTTACAGCATCGCTTCAGTCAGTTACCAAACAGGTTAGAACAGGTCA